ATTTATTGTAGAGATGAGGTCTTGCCAAGTTGCCCAGGCTGGTCTCAAACACCTGGGCTCAGGCAATTCTCTCCTCTCCACCTCCCAAAGTGCTGGGGTTACAGGCGTGAGCCATTGCTCCCAGCCTGGGAATGAAGAGTAACTGCAAACAATCATGAAGGATCTTTTTCAGATAATGAAACATTCTACAATTGAACTGCGGTGATCATTGCACAACATTGTAAATTTACTAAAAGTCATTTAAATGTACATTTAGCAAGTATATAAATTATACCCCAATAAAGTTGTTTTTTTTAAAGAAAAAGTCAAACTCCATTTCAAAAACCAATAAAGCATACTTACATGTTTTTTTCTTTTGTCTCTCCTTTTCTTCAAGGAAAGACGTACCAAATTGAACCAGTGTCTTGACATTGCTCTCAATAGTTTTTAACGTATCTGGTAACATCTCCATTTGTGCTATCCAGTGGTAGTGTTCATCAACATCCATTACAGTTGCTTCAGACAAAACGGCATCTTGAAGAATAGAAAAAAGTTATTTTTGTGCAGAAAAATAAATAATTATAACCATATAGGTGTGTAAAATAGAGCAACCACTCGATATAGTAGTAGCAGAGAATATAGGTATTTCACACTACCATTCTGAGGTTTTTCTCAGTGAAGACATTTAAAAGGAAAAGACTTGGAATAGGAGGCTGAACACTCTAAGTCATACACATGGAAACACGTATCAGGTTAAAAAGTGTTTATTGACTGGACTCAGTGGCACAGCCAGTAATCCCAGTACTTTGGGAGGCCGAGGTAAGTGGATGGCCTAAGCCTGTGGGTTCAAGACCAGCCCGGCAACTTGGTGAGACCTTGTCTCTACAATAAATAAAAAATTAGCCGGGCATGATGGCACACATCTGTGGCTCCAGCTACTTGGAAGGTTGAGGTGGATGGCGCCCAGCAGGTCAACGCTGAGGTAGCCTATGAGCGTGCCACTGCACTCTAACCTGGGCAACAGAGTGAGATGCCAATTCAAAAAAAAAAAAAAAACGGAAATGTTTACTTGGTTTAGTTCCCCAGTTTTGGGGCAGTAGGTATCTAAAATGTCTGTGTTTTAATATTGGGCATCTAAACCCCAGTGGACTCCTTCGGCAAGTTATCCAGTCTTATAACCTCCGTCACGTGAGATTTCTTTCAACAAAATGAAATCCTTTTTTTTTGTATTCATGTCTTATTAATTCTTTCATTCAACCAATGTCTACTCTGCTATGTACTGTTCTGGATGCTATGAATACAGTATTAAATAAAACAAGTAGCTGGGCGGGGTGGCTCATGCCTGTAATCCCAGCACTTTGGGAGGCAGAGGCGGGAGGATTGCATGAGTCCAGGGATTTGGGACCAGTCTGGGCAACTTGGTGAGACCTCATCTTTACAATAAATCAAAACATTAACCAGGCATGGTGGTTCCAGTTACTTGGAAGGCTGAGGTGGAAGGATCGAGGCTGCAGAAGACGTGAACGTACCACTGCACTCCAGCCTGGGTGACAGAGTGAGACTCCGACTCACAAAAAAAAAAAGCCATGGAGTGGCTCATGTCTATAATCCCAGAACTTTGGGAGCCCAAGGTGAGAGGATTGCCTGAGTCCATAGGTTTGAGACCAGCTCAGGCAACATGGCAAAACCTCGTCTCTATAATAAATTTTTAAAAATGATCTGGGTGTGGTGGTGCATGCCTGTAGTTCCAGCTACTTGGAAGGCTGAGGCAGAAGGATCACCTGAGCCCAGCAGGTTGAGACTATGGTGGTCATGAGTGTGCCACTGCACTCCAGCCTGGGTGACAGAGTGAGATTTCAACCTCCCCTAAAAGAGTGAGATTTAAGCAGGGAATGAGTCATGTGTATATCTGGTGGAAAATGTTCCAGGCAAGGAAATAATAAGTATAAAGGCATGAGGCAAGAACATGCTGGCATGCTTGAAAAATAGCAAGGAAGCCTGGGCATATGGACTCACACCTGTAATCTCAGCAATTTGGGAAGCCGAGGCGGTAGGATTGCTTAAGCCCAGGAGTTTGAGACCACCCTGAGCAATACAAGATCTCATCCCTACAAAAAAAATTTAAAAATTGGTATGGTGGTGCATGCCTGTAATCCCAGCTACTCAGGAGGCTGAGGTGGGAGGATCACCTGAGCCCAGGAGGGTGAGGCTACAGTGAGCCGTGATAGTGCCACTCCACTCCAGTCTGGGCAGCAGAGCAAGACCCTGTCTCAAAAAAAAAAAAAAAAAGCAAGGAGGCCAGAATAGCTGGCATTAAAGCCTATATTTTTATTTGATTCTTACTATAAAAAAGGAAAATTGTTCTCTGAATAACCTCTGTAGTCTTTATTTATTTGTTTGTTTGGTTTTTTTTTTTTTTTTGAGTTGGAGTCTCACTCTGTTGCCCAGACTGGAGGGCAGTGGTGCGCTCACGGCCACTGAAACCTCGACCTGCTGGGTTTAGGTGATCCTTCCGCCTCAGCCTTCCAAGTAGCTGGAACTACAGGTACATGCCACCACGCCCAGCTAATTTTTGATTTATTGTAGAGATGTGGTCTCACCAAGTTACCCAGGTTGGTCTCAAACCTTTGAATCAGGCAATCCTCTCACCTGGTCTCCCAAAGTGCTGGAATTATAGGCGTGAACCAACACACCCGGCCCATAGTCTTTCTTCTTTAGTCTGGTTAATCATCCAGATTTTACTTATAGAGTATCTTCTCTATATTTTTCATTAACTTTCTGGTTTTCCTAGGAACCACTTCTGGAAACTTACTCCATTCTTCCAACCAGGCCAGAGTGTAGGCAAGAATCTTTTCTCTAATTTCAGCCACATTAGCATAAGTAGCTATGTCTTCCAAAACACTGGCTTTCTTTTTTTTTCTATATTCTTTAAGGGAGATATTTTTTCCAGAGAACAAATTTAAATCAACAGAATAGCGAGCTATTATCCGATGCACGTTGTTCATTATGTCATCCAGCTGCTCACTGATGTCCTATAAGAATAAAAAGGGAGAATATATTAATAAACTTTCAGTGTGAAAAGAAGCTTTCGTCACTTTTCTTCCAGGAGTGTCAGTGACAATTAATTAATTAATTTATTTTTATTTATTTTTATTTTGAGTTGGAGTGTCACTCTGTCGCCCAGACTGGAGTGCAGTGGCCGCTCCCGG